TGAGTACTTCATACGTATTTCTTCGCTGGATTTTGTTAATCGCAACGGATACACAAGGACGTTAGTCAGTTTTGATTTTAAAAAAACAAGTACAAACTAAATATTTTTTTATAACATTACATTAAATGATACATGAAATGTACAATTTAGGTAAACATGTTTTAAAATATATAAAATGATATATACGATTTAATAAATCTCTTCTAAAAATCTCTAAAATTTTATATATAAAATGATATGCATAGTACATTTTATTTTTTTGTATTACTATTTTATATATATTTTGTATATTTTTTATAATAATTTTAATTATATATATTGTTTTTTATCTAATAATACAATAACGCATTTCTAATTGCAATATAATAATAAATAAATGTTATAACGTAAACGATCTCGAGGTATGTACGTATAAATCACACGGTGCTAATTACGCGTGCTAATTAGGCGATGCGAAAATGCACCATTCGGAACCGAGACAATCGAATCGCTTGGGCGATATGAGAAGAGCGAATCATCGGTGTGTGTCCGTAACATGATGCAATTTGAAATTGCAAAAGAGTCGCGAGAAGATGGTGTCAGTAACCAACGAGCGAGTGATTCGATCGTTCGACAGCTCGATCAATCATGCTACCTTCGGTCGCACCATCATAATTAATTAATCTAATCGCATCTGGTAATCGCGATGTGCGTTTGCGTCAAGTTACGGCCTCTCCGAGGAATGCTATGAAAGGGCGCCACCAGTCGGGTGACCGGTAGGTTTGCTTTACGGTGTTAGCCTTTTTGGTACCGGTCGCGGCGTGGGTGGGCCTAAAGTGGGTAGGCTGGGCCTGTCGGCCTCGAACCTGCACCGCAATCTGGTTTTTAAAAGTTCGGCTGACGGCGAAGAAATTTCTACGAGGGTCAGATTACGTTGCGTTTAACTTTTGTGTCCGTATCGAGCGATCCATTTCACGAGCACTAAATCGTGCGTAAAAACTTTTCGAAATGGTAATTTTAGAAATGGTAAATTTATTTACGATTTTGAGAATAATTGGAGTAACGGAAAACACTGCGTGTACAAGGATTTCTTTTTGCATTCGCGAATAATAAATCGTGAATTATCGGGAGTTAAATATTCGCGTGTGAACGAGATTTATTCGTGATACATTCCATTATATATAATTCAAATACGCGAGATGCGCTCTCGTGTGTTAAATTATTCAAGCTGGAGCTCCCAGTTTTCCCTTGAAATGCGTGGTGCAAATGGACGGTCAGGCATTCTGGTCACCGAATGTAATCGTTGAATCGTCGGCGGTCTCTTTTTCGCGATTGCACGACCGCGAAATCCGCACGTGTCGCAGTTACGTCGAACGCCGATTGTTATCCGCGCTATTTCGTATCCAATGAAGCCGGAAATGAACGAGCGGTTGGGTGTGAAGTTTAGTGCCTATCGAAGTTCAAGTCGATAAGCATCGTTCGGTGATAATCTGGAGAAAAAATAAGATCGTAATGTGTCGAAATTATCGAGCGCAGCTACTGACTGAAATCGCGCGACGAAATTGGTCGCAACCTCCTGTGAATTACGTATTTTCCATTCGCTTAATTTCAAACCTCGTTCCCGTATCTGCGACAACTCGCTCGTATAAAGAATACGCTTTATTCTCACTGGATTTACGTTACCTCGCCTACGAGAGACGCCGGGAAACGAAACTTTTTACTTCCTGCCATTCTCGAAACTACGCGAACGAACGGCAGAAGGTACATTCTCGCGCGATTTTACTGTTGCGAACGTGGATAAATAAAAAATGTAAAGGTAGATTTATAGAACGATATTGTACGCGATACAATAAAAGCAGAAAAATAATCGATACCTGGAAACTCGAATATCGGGATAAATATTGGGACAAGGATTATTTAGAATCTGAGAATCTTTTTTAGGGAAAAATTTTGATGCGTAAAACGGTCGTCGATATATCAGATTCGTAAAGTAATAGTTTAAATGGAAAACGATTCGATCGATATCGACGGGCTTCAACACTCGAGATGAATTCAACTATGTTTTTTTATGAGCGCGATAGAAAATGTGAAATGCATTTCGTAGCGTTATGCGAACATTTCCTTTCGTTCACGAAGGCGTATCCGTTATGATATCGGATAATAGTAATTTACGAGAACACAAAAGAAAAGCCATAAGCTGCCGAATATCCATTTTTTTTTCCGAGAAAGATCATTTTCACTTTTGATTTATGTGCAGGTGACGAACTTGTAATTGCCTCGATCTAGCTTTATTATAACAAGGACGTTGATTTTGCAAAAGATTAGAAGCTGTAGATATGTCAAGTAATGTCAAAAATAGATGATCCGATTGTTCAAAAGATTAAACATGTAAAATTTCTCGCTGAAATCAAAAGTAGGAAAAAAAATTTGAACTCAAGGAAAGGTTTGTCATCTTTGAAGTATATGGAATTCATCATGGCTCACATGGAATTTATCAGATCCGTCCCTCCACGACGCGACTAATTGCGTTACGTGTCACGATCGATTCCGATCTCCCAGGGAGCAGGGAGCTCGTTGCAGGCGAATGTGACTGACGTTCCCGTGTGTTTCGCGAATTCATTAAAACCGTTCGTGCTCTCACGTTTACGTAATCGGTCGTGACGCATTCGAAACGGTTCAACTCATTCGCTGTGTACAAATTGCTGTCCACCGACCACGTTTCCTGACGCTGCGAATTATATTCCCGTTCGTCAAACGTCAGGATATTTCAATAACCAGAGCTTGGTTTTACGCACGGTTTATGCGTCAGGGATCAAAGGGAATACTTTTCCTTTTGCTCCCTTTACTCGTCGACTGGATTTCCAGTTTAATATTCGCGAAATCGTATGTATAGCATCGCGACCGGCGTCCATTAAAGGGCGCGGCTATCACAGCGACAGTGCAATTTCACATGTGAAAATTTTATAATTTTGCTCCGATTAACGATCGATGTTGCTTCCGATTCCGTGTTGCACCATGCAAACGTACGCTCCGTCACGTCACGTAACAGAGATAAATGTTGTTTTAACAATATTCGATTGCGTGTCCAAAACGCATGGATAACGTGAAGCGCAATGAAAAAATGTTTCAAAAAATCCTTCATTCTTGGTAACATAACATAGTATGTGTCTCTGTTCTAGTTTCAATAGCGGAAATATTTTATTAATATAAATACGCAATAAAAATTTATTCTGAAAATTTTCACCAATTTAGGTGAGTGCATTCCGTAATTCATCGTTCTGCCGGGCGGTTCCGCGAAAATTTTCCCGTGTCCATTCGACTGCGCCGGCACGACGTTTCGTCCTTTCTGCTAGAGGAAGGACCCATCGAAGGAGTCGAGTCGCATTTGCACGATTCGAACAGCGGATCGTACTTTCACTCGATCGTTCGTCCCGTATCTCGTTGGTGCCGCGGACCCTCGCCGCCGTAAACGTGAAGAGAGGAACGCTCGAGGCGTGGAGCAACGCGGTGCGGTGCGGTGCGGTGCGAGAAGGGAGAAAAGACTCAAGGCAGAAAGAGAAACGCGAGAAGAGGAAGCACGCACGCACGTATCCACGCAGACACATATGTGCACACTCGACGAATAAACGAAACGAAGCGAGTGTGTATGT